AAGCCGGGAGGCGGAGCTTGCAGTGAGCTGAGATCTGGCCACTGCACTCCAGCCTGGGCGACAGAGCGAGACTCCGTCTCAAAAAAAAAAAAAAAAAAAAGCAGCCCATTAGAGACTCAGCACCCAAGGTTCCTATCAGGATCTGGTCACATAGGCACCCTCTGCTTTGCATGTATCAAAATTTCAAACTCTTACCAGGAAAGCAAGTATTTGGCATAAATGACATCTTTTATACAAAGTCTAGGTACAATGAAGTTAGGGAATGGATGGCACCCAAAGGCCAGTCTTGCAAGCAGAACCTTCCAAAGGTAGCACCCTCAGGCCTGCTATAATGTTAACTATTTCTGCGCAGATATGTTGGGTTAAATAAACTATATAAGTCATATTAATTCCACCAATTTCTTTTTTAATTTTTAATGTGGCTACTTGCTCACATTTTTTACTCACATATTTATTTTGGACAGCACTTGTCTATATCCATGATGAGAAATTCTTCTTTAATGTGTTTTAGTTAAGGTATTTTCTCTGTATACACTAATTTTTTGTTGTTGTTAATACAAATCTTGATAATTAAACAGGTGAAAAGCCTCCCTCAAGTGATATCTTTATATTAACTAATCACCAAATGTAAGACTTAAGTTTAAATTGTAAGGCTGCAATAGATTTAACTTTGTATCCCAAATTTAGCTTTATCACCCAAGAACAAGAAGAAAGCCGCCCCTTCAGAAAAAGTGTGTGTGATTAAAATAAGGGATTTAACAGAGTTTTTTAAAAACAAGAACCAGCTGGAAAAACCTCCATTTGGAAAGCAAATTTCAGAGCTCCAATTAGTAAATTTTTTCATGCTTATCACTAATTCAAATTATTGAACTGTTTCTTTTGTTCTCCTCTAAGCTGTGATTTGTAATTGTTACGATTTCATCCATGGAAACAATTCGTATTTCAGAAGAGATTTATATAAGTGGGCTAATTCTGCATGAGAGATTCAGTTCATGCCTACCCATTGTAGATTGCAGATATAACTGAAATAGAATAATTTTGCTAAAATGGATGATACAGAATAGCAATCAGGATATATTTGGCTTCTTCCCAGGCACTGAATACTAATACATACCTCACTCTTTAAGAAAGATATGATTTTAGGAAAATAATTTCTAGGACTAGAACTGTGAAAGCAGCAGCAGACATTTTTATTAGAATAAACCCGTAATATGATTTTCGGTGACATACTGCCCACGGACCCCCTGCAGGCTTTGCTGAAGGACAGCCATCCTTCAGCATCATTGCCACATCTCTTTGAAATTGGGGGAGACATAAAATCCCAGCCCTCCCCTTCCTTTCCACACCGTGACCCAGCAGTGAGGAACGGCAGAAAGTAGAGAGTCCTCAGGCTATAAGTGGAGTTAATAACTGGCACTATTTTTGCTGTCTTTTATTTATATAAAGACTTGTAGTTCAATCATGTTATTATTTGAATTGAAGCATACCATTAAAATCCCATATCAATAACTGATGCTTGATTGTCATTTCCACCAGCCATGCTTACCCAGTGAAAAGCCATAAAGGTTAATGTAGGTATAATTATTAATTAATATAACTCACATTTCTGGGGAACAAAATCTGACAATATCAGTGCTGTTTTCTAATCACTTTAAATAATACGGAGAGCAGTTGTAAAGAATTTATAATAAAAACTGAAGACATTTTCCTCTCACTGCTCAATCAGTGATGAACATGGAGTGGTAAACCTGTCTTTAAGGCCACCTTTGAAGTTATAAAGAGCCATCAAAGAGGGGGTCACATAATGTTCTGTAGATAAACCTTAAAAACCAATGACAGTTTTATTCATGAAATCCGAATGCCAGGGACCCACAGTGCTGTTTATTACCTCATTCAGCCTGTCTTGAAAATTGCTTATCTTTCCTACATCCCCTTTTTGTGAACTAGATAAAATAGGTAGTAGAATAGAACATAATATACAATTATATTGTATGTAATAGAATTACAGTGTGGTATATAAATTTAAAAAACCTCCAGTTTGTAGAAATGAGGAAATCAAAAATGGTGCATGTTTCTCTTGGCCATTTTTTAATATTTTTCATTGCCCCCATCAGTATAATACAGTTTTATGATATCTATGACAAACCCAAGTAGATGCACTAGCTAATTTTGTAGCGTGAATAAAACACCACCATACACCCCCCAGCCCTCAATATGATGGCATGTTTGTGTAACTGACACCTGTTGTCTTTCCGATGAGCTGGAACCATCAATGTTATCTGAGAATCATGAAGTAATTATTTCAATGGTTTTAGTGATACCATTTTGACAGGTTAGCCATTTCTGGATAAATTACTTATTAGATATATACATCATTTGAACTTAAATCTAAAACAGAAGTATCGTGATTGAGACCACTACTTCCATAATCTCATCAAATTTTAGAACCAGAAGTTTGAGATACACTGTATTCCATCCCCTTCATTTTAAAAGACGAAGCCGAGGCCCAAGGAGGTTAAATACCTTAAAATGTGGATTAACTGATGATAGAAACCGTTTTTATTGATTACTAGCCCGTTGTTTTTTTTCTGCTTTCTGCTCCATGGTGCTATTTCCCAAGTTCCTTCACAGTTTGTAGCTATTGTGGACTCCTTCAGTCATGTCAGCCACCAAGGGGTTCTCATACTTTTGAACTGCAGCGGATGAGTACTCCGCAGGTGAACAAGCTTAACAGTTTAGTGTGAAGACTATTGAACTGTATATAGAAAAAGAAGTCTGAACTCAACTGCAGGTTGGCTTACAGTGAGGATGGGGAGGGGATAAACGAACCCTAGTTCATAATGACTATAAATTTTTAACCTGTTGTACTGGAACTTGGGTGAATAATACCATTTAGGGCATTCTGCTTAAAGAGAGATTATAGTCATACTGTTAATAGCAAAGCAATTTTGGATATTCACTATGGACCTATATTTGTCAGATTATGTTTTGGAGTTATCTAGGTACCTAATAAATGCCTGTTTTTCCAGCCCATGTTCACAGCCCATTGAGAAATAGACAAAGTGGGTAAGACAGATGAATGAAAAACTGTCGGTTTTATTATTAATAATGTACTGCAATTGGAGAATGTGGTCAGATATTCCAAACGTCCTATGAAGTCTGGATGAATTCCTATGAATTCTTCCTATGAAGAAGACTCTAAAGAAAGAGTCTTCTCTTTGGAGGGGAAAAAAAAATAATGCTCATGGCTGTTTTTAAAATTACATTTATTATGTATTTATTAAAAGAAAGATAATATTTAGAAAAAAAATCTCATTAGTCAAGTAAAATTTTAGATACTAACTATATCTTGAAAAACCTTCTGAAAACTAAAAAATATTTGAGATATGTCAGTATAAATAGAGCAATATTCGATTCTCCCTCCTTGGTGCAGCAAATATTTTCTGAAAATCACAAGTACAGAACCTTTTAGGCAGGAAATACATTTTGTCCAATTCTAATTTTAGAAGTCAAAATTATTAAGGTTTTCGGACCAGGCACAGTGGCTTACGCCTGTAATCTCAACACTTTGGGAGGCTGAGGCGGGCAGATCACATAACGTCAGGAGTTCAAGACCAGCCTGGCCAACATGGTTAAACCCCGTCTCCACTAAAAATACACAAATTAGCTGGGTGTGGTGACATGTGCCTGTAGTCCCAGCTACTCGGGGAGGCTGAGGCAGGAGAATTGCTTGAACCTGGGAGACAGAGGCTGCAGTGAGCTGCAATCATGCCACTGCACTTCAGCCTAGGCAAGAGAGCGAGACTCCATCTCAAAAAGAAAAAAAATGGCTAAGGTTTTTGGGCTTCTGTCGTACTGAATGGGAAAATAATAAGCTGCCTCACTTCTTGACTTTCATATGTTTTGTTTGTTTCTTTACACTGAAATACTTAATACTACTCTGTTGGACTTCTGCCTCCAGGCTAGGAGTTTATTTCCTAACAGAAGTAAGCACACTGACTAATAATCCATTCTAACAAAGGTTTACATATACAAGGGGAGGTGCCAAGTAGAGGAGTATGTGGAGTGTGACAGGAACACACAGGAGCGACTGGCTACCCCAGAGAAGCAAGGGGATTTTCACAGATGGTAACATTTGAGATGATACTGAAAGATGAGTAGGTGGCCGCCACAAAGAGAAAGAAGGAGCCATTCCAGGCTGAAAGAACAACTTACACAAGTAGGAAATTATATGGTATATATTCCATATACCTTTAGTGTCCTTAAAACAATTTTTTTGAATCCAGAAGATTGGATTTTTTTATTATGGGTAAAATATACATAACAAAATGTATTATTTTAGCCATTTTAAGTGTACGGTTCAGTAGCATTAAGTACATTCACATTATTGTGCAATCGTTACCACTATCCATATTCAGAAAGTTTTTGTCTTCCCAAACTGAAACTGTACCCATTAAACATCACCTCCCCATTCCTGCCTCTTTCTGGACCCTGGTAACCTCTATTCTACTTTCTGTCTCTATGAATTTGCCTCTTCTAGGCTCCTCAATAAGTGGAATCATACAATATTTCTCATACAATAATTAATATGTAATTATAGGGCCGGGCGCGGTGGCTCACCCCTGTAATCCCAGCACTTTGGGAGGCCGAGGCGGGCAGATCACGAGGTCAGGAGTTCAAGACCAGCCTGGCCAACATAGTGAAAACCCGTCTCTACTAAAAATACAAAAATTAGCCGGGCATGCCGCGTGCCTATAGTCCCAGCTACTCGAGAGGCTGACACAGGAGAATCACTTGAACCCGAGAGGTGGAGATTGCAGTGAGCCAAGATCACACCACTGCACTCCAGCCTGGCGACAAGCCAGACTCCATCTCAAAAAAAAAAAAAAAAAAAGTAACTAGAAATAATTATGCTAAGTGAAATATGTGGCTTTGTCCGTGGTGTATGTATCATAATTTCATTTATTTTTATGACCGAATCACATTCCATTGTCTTGTAGATGCCACATTGTTTATCCATCCACCCATCAATGGGCATTTTGTTTGTTCCCACCTTCTGGCTGTTGTGCATAATGCTGCTGTGAACATTGGTATGCAAGTAACTGAGTTCCTGGTTTCAGTTCTTTGGAGTAGGTAGCTAAAAGTAAAATTGCTGGATCATAAGGTAATTCTATGTTTAACTTTTTGAGGAGCCTCCAGATAATTTTCCACAACGACTGCACCATTTTACATTCTCACCCTCAGTACAGAAGGGTTCCAGTGTCTCCACATCCTTGCCAACACTGTCTTCCAAAATTTTGAAAAAAAATTTACCAGACTGTATACTGGTTCCTTAAGAACCATTGAAAATACATTCATTATCATTACATTAAAAGTGACCTTTTGGGGCCTAGCATAAGAAAAAGTTGGAATGAGCCAGCATCAGAGAATATTGACATTTGTCTTATTGTTTGAATAGTACAGAGTTTATTCAAAGAAAGGCCTTTGCGGTAAGAAAGTACTCATAAAGTCAGATTTGTTATGTATGAAATAAATCAAAATCGGGTGGTGTGCCTGCTCTTCGCAACACTGTTTTCTCTTCCTGCAGCTCCCTGCACAAGCAGCACTTTCTTTTGCCATAGCAACATGTGCATCAATAATTCTTTAGTCTGTAATGGTGTCCAAAATTGTGCATACCCTTGGGATGAAAATCATTGTAAAGGTGAGTTTGATGTAAAGGCCAACCTTTTTGAGAAAAGAGTGGCTATTACCCTTCATTAAGAACTTAAAATGTTATTTTCTACAACAGTGCTTAGCATAGCTGCTTTGACAGAAATGGAAACATATAAATGGATCATACACCTGGGATGTGGTGAAAACAAAGAAAAATACTCTAAATGAAAGCATTTTTTGTCTACAAACTGTTAAGTTCTAAAGTGTATTGTGGCTGGGCACAGTGGCTTATGCCTGTAATCCCAGCACTTTGGGAGGTTGAGGCAGGCGGATCACCTGAGGTCAGTAGTTTGAGACCAACCTGGCTAACATGATGAAACCCCGTTTCTACTAAAAATACAAAAAAATTAGCTAGGCGTGGTGGCGCATGCCTGTAATCCCAGCTACTCGGGAGGCTGAAGCAGGAGAATCACTTGAACCCGGCAGGCGGAGGTTACAGTAAGCTGAGATCGCACCATTGCACTCCAGCTTGGGCAACAAAAGCGAAAACTCCGTCTCAAAAAAAAAAAAAGATATAGTGGTATGCCTTGCCCTATTTTTGTTACTGTTGTTGAGGTTTGTCATTTGTATTGTAAACATACCTTATTTAGTTGTCAAAATAATTTAGAGGTTAGCCTGAAGTATGTGGAAACACTATTTAATAAAAATCAACTTGCAGATTCTGTCTTACAACATAAAAACAGAAACATTCTATGAACTGCTTTTTTTTATTTCATAACATTTCCTATGCTGTATTCCCAGTGTGTACTCACTGAAAGATAAATGCAGCTTGTGGTAATGGTTGAATGTCTGCAAGCTGGTTGTCAGGTCACTGTGTCAGAACTAAAGATGATCTACCTTTTATCCTCTAAGACAGCAGTCCCCAACCTTTTTGGCACCAAGGACTGGTGTCGTGGAAGATAATTTTTTCACGGGACAGGGGTGGGGTAGGGGTGTTGGTTTCAGGATGATTTAAGCGCATTACATTTATTGGGCACTTTATTATTATTACATTGTAATATATAATGAAATAATCATACAACTCACCATAATGTAGAATCAATGAGAGCCCTGAGCTTGTTTTCCTTCAACTAGACAGTCTCATCTGGGGGTGATAGGAGACAGTGACAGATCATCAGGCATTAGATTCTCCTAAGGAATGCACAGCCTGTATCCCTCACATGCGCGGTTCACGATAGGGCTCCTGCTGCTGTGAGAATCTAATGCCTGCTGATCTGACAAGAGACGGCGCTCCGGGTCACGTGAGTGACGGGGAGCAGCAGCAAATACAGATGCAGCTTCACTCGCTCCCTCGCAGCTCACCTCCTGCAGTGAGACCAAGTTCCTGTCTGTGGCCCAGGGGTTGAGGACCCCTGCTGTAAGAGTTCAATAAGTATCTTACTGCAATCTGATATGGCTGTTATAAATACTTGACATGAAGTGTTTTCAGTTAATCATTCAAAAACAGTAGGTCATGATAATATACTGGATGGGTTAGTCTGACGATGTTAGTTTGCTCTCCCTGTGGTCATCAGTAGATGTGGGTATACCTGAACACGGCAGTTGGTCAAACCTACCATAAAGCAGAAAGCTAAAATTGATAGAACAAGAGTATTTATTTGGCATCGTCTGTATTTATGTATTTGATTTGATTTGCAGAATGTGTGCATCTGTGTGTCTTCTGAAGAAACGGACCAAGAACTTTATCTTTTCTGTAATCTATCCATCTATACTGTGATTGGTAACTTTAGAGAGAAATTTTAATGGGGTTGTTTTATTTGTTTAAAAACCTAATTGTAAACTGCATTGTCTGTAGTATATTTGGCCCAAGTATTCTGCTTTACCTAAAAATACATTACTAATTTGTACCAGGATTCATATTAATGTATTTTGAACACTTAACATTTCTCATTTTCGTTCTACAGAAAAGAAAAAAGCAGGAGTATTTGAACAAATCACTAAGACTCATGGGACAATTATTGGCGTTACTTCAGGGATTGTCTTGGTCCTTCTCATTATTTCTATTTTGGTACAAGTGAAACAGCCTCGAAAAAAGGTCATGGCTTGCAAAACTGCTTTTAATAAAACCGGGTTCCAAGAAGTCTTTGATCCTCCTCATTATGAACTGTTTTCACTAAGGGACAAAGAGATTTCTGCAGACCTGGCAGACTTGTCAGAAGAATTGGACAACTACCAGAAGATGCGGCGCTCCTCCACCGCCTCCCGCTGCATCCATGACCACCACTGTGGGTCGCAGGCCTCCAGCGTCAAACAAAGCAGGACCAACCTCAGTTCCATGGAACTTCCTTTCCGAAATGACTTTGCACAACCACAGCCAATGAAAACATTTAACAGCACCTTCAAGAAAAGTAGTTACACTTTCAAACAGGGACATGAGTGCCCTGAGCAGGCCCTGGAAGACCGAGTAATGGAGGAGATTCCCTGTGAAATTTATGTCAGGGGGCGAGAAGATTCTGCACAAGCATCCATATCCATTGACTTCTAATCTTCTGCTAAAGGTGACGTGAATTCTTAAGTATGTATGTACGCAGCCTCCAAGGCACCATACTGTTTCCAGCAGCCAACCCTTTTCTCCCATCACAACTACGAAGACCTTGATTTACCGTTAACCTATTGTATGGTGATGTTTTTATTCTCTCAGGCAGTCTATATATGTTAAACCAATCAAGGAACTTACTCTATTCAGTGGAAACAATAATCATCTCTATTGCTTGGTATCATTTATAGGAAGCACTGCCAGTTAAAGAGCATTGGAAGAGGTGGTTGGATGGAGCCAGACTCAGGCTGCCTATTCGTTTTAGCAACGGGAAGACTGCTCTTGACTGATACAGCTCTGTCAATATTTTGATGCCACAATAAACTTTAAGATTTTTCTTTACATTTTATTTTTCCTTTCTCTAAATTTAATTTGTTTTATAAGCCTATACTTTTACCATTTCAGTTTCTTACATAAATACAAGTGGTTAATGTACCACATATTTCAATATAGGCATTTGTTCTTGAATGTGTCAAAATACAGCTAGTTACTATGCCAATTAAGACCCAGTTGTATTTCATCCATCTGTTTCTTCTTGGCTAATCTCTGTACTTCTGCCTTTTAATTACTGGGCCCTCATTCCTCATTTTCTGTGAGAAATAATAGATGATATTTGTCACCTTTCAATTACATTTTTTCTCAGTTATACTGGAAAATTTCATAATCCTGGGATATAGGTACCATTGCCCACTATGACTAACAATTTGAAAAAGATAAAAATTTCTAGCAAGCCTTTGAAGTTTCCCAAGTATAGTCACATTCAGTGACAGCCCATTCATTCCAGTAAACAAAGTCATTTCGTTCACTTTGGGAGAGGCCTATAATTACGTTTATTTGCAATGTTTCTCTTCGCTAGATTGTTACATAGCTCCTGTTCTACTGATTTTGCTTACCACATATGGTAACCAAGGTTAGATGCGAGTTAAAATTCCTTAGAAACTGGATGAGCCTTGAGATTGCTTCTTACCTGGGACAGGACATTTTTCTAGCTCTTATCAAGAATAACAACTTCCACTTTTTTTTAAACTGCACTTTTGACTTTTTTTATGGTATATAAACAATAATTTATAAACATAATATAAATGCTCATTGTGTTTTTTTAGACTTTTGATATTATTTGATACTGTACAAACTTTATTAAATCAAGATGAAAGACCTATAGGACAGATTCCTTTCAGTGTTCACATCAGCGGCTTTGTATGCAAATATGCTGTGTTGGACCTGGACGCTGTAACTTATTGTAAAGACCTTGGTAATGTGGACATAAGCTCTTTCTTTCCTTTTGTTACTGTATTTAGTTTGTGATAAATTTTTCACTGTGTGATATTTATTGCTCTAAATCACTACACAAATCCTATATTAAAATATACATTGTACCTGACCCTTTAATCATGTAATTTATACTACTGAGGTTGTGGATCTTAAGGTATGTACGGAAAGGAACTCATTTATCAAATTGTAAGTAATACAGACATGCCATTTAAAAGAGGTAAATTCTTGTTTTCTATATTTTGGTAGTAAATTCTCAATGAAATAAGTTGAAGTTTCACTGGATTTCATTAACTTTTAAATATTACATATATGTGTTTTCTCAGATTAGTGAAAATTGTGACCTTAAATATGATATACACTGCCTCAGAATGCTTTCTTATATCAAAGTTTATGTTTTTTTAAAAAGTAGATAATATTTAGGAGACGGAAAAACCTATACGTAATGTATTCATGATTTAAACTTTTTTTTTAAGTCACCATAGTTTCTTATTTTAAAAATACAACTTGGAAACATGAAAAGACTTGATGCATATAATATTCAATGAACTAATACCAGAGACAGCTAAGTTTTTTCAGTAGTTATGCTGAATAAGCATTTTAGTAGGTAACTTATGCCAGCCAACATTTGAACAGCATAACAAATACTTAATATAACAACAACTATGATCTCATTCATGATGATAAAAGGGAAGTTAGCATATTTTCTATGTAAAATTATATTCATTTTTAAAAATAGCTGTTAAACCTATATTTAATCTTTATAGTAACAAATAATACAGTATGCTAAACTGTATTATCTGTAGTCACTTGTAACTTTATTTTTGAAATTTGATTTCTATTTTATAAGGTCTTGAAGATGCCTGCAAAATACAGAGCCTTTAAAGAAGACATGTAACAGTAAAACAGAACAGAAGTACACAGTTTTATACGAGTCAACGTAGCAAGTAAAGTTGAGATAATAAGTTTCGTTTGAATTTTCTGGCTGCTAAAACAAACAGTTTTTGCTTTTCACAGTAGAAAACAAACTTATGTGCAGAGGCTAATTTCCTCTTGAACTACAGCATGAGGGTCTGTATATAGGAACATTTCTTCAGAATGGAAAAAAGATGCAGAATGCAGAGATTATAATGGTGCATCTTAACACCCAGCGAAGGCACAACTTAATGTCATCTGGGAACACTGGTTTGGGGTCAGTCTGTATTTTCGGGGATAGAGCTAAAGAACCAGATGATCAATAGCTAAGCCAGCCTTAGCCTGTCACATGTTATACGCCTTCATTGAATCATAGATGGGCATTAGATCTCATTCATTTATTAAAGTTGTCTATGCTTTTGGAAGAGGTGAGAATGGAACTAATACATCTTAGACATTATTGCCAGAATAATGCTAATTGCTGTATATATAGCCTTTAATCTTTGAGATCAATGAGAAAACTTTACAAATTGCTTACTAAAAGGAAAGCCATAAAATTTAATAACAAGACATGAAATGTAGCCATCTTGTGGAAGTCATTACACAGTATTAACTGTCCACAGGGCACCCCACACAGTACCCCAGTGTTTAACACAAGATGCAAATCTGGAGGGCATAAATATCTTCAATTCAGAAACAGTATTAAGTATATCTGTAGAATATTGTCACCATCACCTTCCATCCACAATTCACCGTATCATCCCTCAAATGCCCACAGATCTATTGCAGGAAACCTACTAATCCCAACATCTAAAGCATGTAGGAATAAGGTGTGATATTCCTTTTGTGTGTGGGGAGAGTTTAAAGGTTTAACAAAAAGCAGAGAATGTTCACATTTCACATCACGAAAGATTTCAAAGACTTCTTTAACCCGACAGCGGTTATGTCAGTGTCTTTGCTATGCTTCATAGAATTGTTAGACTTTAAAAGAACCTCCTGAAAGTCTGCCTCTGAACATTTGTGTGGTTCTGCCAATGTCTGATGAGAAGAATGCTTCTCTGTTTCAGGAGTGTGTTCACTGATGAGAGGGGACGGGAGAAGCCTGGTTGTGATTTCAGGAATAATTCTCAAAGGAGATTATGCTCTTATTGCAAAATGGGGTCTGCTATGTATTGTTCATGTCACTTTATTGCAAGTATTAAAAATAATATGCCTTGAACCACACTGATTAGACCCAGAAGGATCATTGAGTTTTTGGTGGTTTTAAAGATCCAAGAAAGACTATCTGGCCCAAGTGTATTAATGAGAAGACTGAAGCCCACAGAAGTGAAGTCAGCCCCAGGGTCCCAAGAACCCCAGTACTCTTTTCTTTTTTTGCTGCCTCTTGCTTTTGTCAGCTGTAGGTTTTAAAAGTCAAGCACTCCTAAACAGCACCCAGATGTTCCATGTAAGCTTGTCAGTCATTCTGAATTGAAATGTAATTCTATAATTTTTTCAATGCATTATGTTTCCCATTTAAATGTATGTAACACTGTTCTACAGTTTTGCTGCCATGATTCCTTGGCACCTGTGAATTCTTACTGAGCAATGTTTGTTAACAGTATACAGGCTTGATACTAGGCAGGAAGAGCTCTTGTGTTCTTGCTTTTCCGATCTTTTTTAAATCTAAAGGAGACGTGTATTCTAGAAATTAAACATTTGTGTGCCATATCTCTTGAGTTTTGGAGAACAATTGGAGCTCGAGCTACTATAAATGACAAGATTATCTTGGATATCTTTTTTAGCTTTCTGCAAAATCACTTATGTTTTATATACCTCTGCTAATAATTCAAAACTCTGAATTTGCTTTACTGTATTAACTTTTTTAAAATGTATTTTTGCAATTGGTTTAATTACTACAAAAGCCTAAAAAGCTAATGACTAGGTGCATGTTTAGTATGCACTGTCTAGTGTAAATTTTTTTAAAGCAGTAGATTTTTATTAGAGATTAACTTCCAGGCCATATGAGAATATGCTTAATCCTAGATTTGGCATTTTACAGAAAAGAATTTTGACTCTTGAACTAGAATTAAAAACTTGTTCTGATTTCCTTGCTTGCCTCAATTTCTAAAGTCTAGAAGTGGCAAAGAATTTAGATCACTTATGCCCACAGAATCTGTATTTCCTTCCAGGGCAAAGTTGGCATTTCCTATCTACTAGCTTCCAAAATAAAGTAATCCTAGTTATGATAATAAGAGCAACCTTATTTTATTACACTTAGAACCATTTTATGTTTTCAAATTAATCTTTGAGTGAAGATGAACTAAAAAAAAAAAAATGCGTTTTGTCCCGGGTTGCCTGCAGGTTCCAGTCTGCTGCCTCCGGTCACTGAAGAGGCAGTGAGGACTGGCACGGGGTGGGCTGGAAAGCCAAGCTGTCCTTTCAGGGTGCACAGTGCCCCAGCCATAGCACAGCTTAGAAACATGGATGAGTAGACCTCAAGATAGGTGAACACGGAGTAGGGAGCAAAAGAAGGCAGAAACTCCTCTGAGTTTCACAAGCATCAGGCACAGATCAGGGCACAAAGGAAGAAGAAAGAAGGTAGTTACCACTGGTCTGTCTCTGTAAATAGTTACAGAGCAATTTTACTTTGTGTTATTTAGGATTGAGAAACAAGTGTTATTTAAAAGTCCTCTTACCCTCCAACCTTTGTCATACTCCACAATATCTGATGCCATTTAGGCCTCTGAGCCAGTACATATTTTATTGAAACTTTTTTTCTTTTGACGCAGAGTCTTGCTTTGTAACCCAGGCTGGAGTGCAGTGGCACAATCTCAGCTCACTACAACCTCAACCTCTAGGGCTCAGGAGATCTTCCTGCCTTAGCCTGCCTAGTAGCTGAGACTACAGGCACGCACCACCACAGGCTAACTTTTTAAAATTATTTTTGTAGAGACAGGGTTTGGTCGTGTTGCCAGGCTGGTCTGGAACTCCTGAGCTCAAGCAGTCTGCCCGCCTAGGCCTCCCAAAATGCTGGGATTACAGGAGTGAGCCACTGCTCCTGGCCCAGCTGATTTTTTTGTTTTTTTGTTTTTTATTTTAAGAAATGGAGTCTCACTACGTTACCCAGGCTGGTTTCAAACTCCTGGGCTCAAGCAATCCTGCCTTGGCCTCCCAAAGAGCTGGGATTACAAGCATGTTGAAACATTTTGAGTAGTTGTTGATTGCTAAAGGAATTTCCATCAGAAATCGAGGTATTCAGCCATGCTTTCCAAATCTTGTTTTATTCTTCCACTGATAATATTGGTCCTATTAAGTTGTGGTGTAGTGAAGTATTCACAAATTTCAATCCAAAAAATTATGTGAATAGTCAGGGAGTTCTTTCTGTACCCTTGAGTTATTTTATCACTGTCATGTGTACACCTCATAGGAAAGTTCCGCTTTGAGAATGAGCAGAAGGAACAGATAGGAAATGTGCAGCGGGTGCCGATGTGTAGTCCTGCAGCCTGCAAGTCCATGTGTGTAGGAAGAGGCAGTCACTTCCTCAGTCATTAGCTTTTCACCTGAAACAACAAAACTAGTGGTAGGAAGCTTCTGAGATGGTTCCCAGTGAAACCTGCCCGCTGGTGTGCACTCTTGTGTAACCTCCTGTCCTTGGGTGTGAGCTGGACTTAGTGGCTTGCTTCTGAGGAGTAGAACAGAAGCAGGAAGGGAGAGAGCACTCGTGAGGTTTGGTGGCAGAAAGTCTCTGGCTTCTGTCTCCTTGCCCTCTCTTACTTTTGTGCTTTCCTGCTCGGAAGGTGAGGTGTTCTTTGGAAAGGCCCATGTGACGAGAAGCAGAACTTTCCAGCCAACAGCTAACATGGAACTGAGGCCCTCATTCCAATAGCCTCCAACTGAATCCTGCCAACGAGACATGAGTTTGGAAGGGGATCCACCCCAGTGGAACTCTTGAGATGACTGCAGCCAACACCTTGATTGCAGCCTTGTGAGAGACAAACCAAGATGTTTGTTTAAGTGCTAAATTTGGGGGTAATTTTTATGCCGTTACAGATAACTAGTACAAAGCTAGAAAAAGAAAAAGGCATAATACAAATTTTATTATCTTAATGAGGCTACCAGCATCTGAAGAACTGAAATAAGGAGAATTGTTCTTCCTCCCGCATGAGCACCTGTCAGCTACCTTAGTCTTACCTTAAATAAAAACACTTAACCAAATACATTCTCTCTCTCAAGGACAGCAAAAGATATTGAAATTTGATGATTCTGTATTTGAAATGTAAACCAGATTACAATTAAACTCTAACTCTTGAATACTGTCCCTTTTAAGTCACTTACCAAATCTCCTTTAAGATGAAATTATCTAAAAATGAATAAAGGATAAAATTCTTATTCTGATTCTATGTTCTTTCATATTTCCAATCATATAATACTAACGTTGGGTTTCCTAGAAGGCATGGCTAATTTACAACTCAATCATTGAGAAGATTCTTGGGACAAGTGATTTTTTAAAAAACACAACAAAAAGGTGTGTCACTGAGAAAAGAAAGAAAAGCCTTTTGTGTCCAGAACACGTTCTACCCTCAAGATGAGAAGTGTAGTGAAAGCAGTTCTATACAGAGATTTTTCTATTATGAAAAATATATATACATAAATAAGATTTCCTGGAAGAGAATGCTCTTTTTTGCTTTGGCCAAAATGATTAAAAGACCAAATCAGGAAAGTTTTTCTTTCTGAATTGTTTTTGATAGCTGACTGACAGCCACAGCTACCTGCTATAAAAGATAAAATTGTATCTTTAACTATCAGTGCATAAATTTTTCCATTGCATTTGAAGGAAGCTGCTATTGCTGACATTGTTTTGCCCTGTGGATATAGTTATGGCCTAAGTCCTTTTCTGTTTTTTTGTTGTTGTTGTTGTTTTGTTTTGTTTTGTTTTGTTTTTGAGAGGAGTCTTCGCTCTGTCGCCCAGGCTGGAGTGCAGGCAGGGGCACGATCTCGGCTCACGGCAAGCTCCGCCTCCCGGGTTCATGCCATTCTCCTACCTCAGCTTCCTGTAACTGGGACTACAGGCGCCCGCCACCACAGGGCCAGCCAATATTTTTGTATTTTTTAGTAGAGACGGGGTTTCACCGTGTTAGCCAGGATGGTCTCGAGTTCCTGACCTCGTGATCCGCCCTCCTTGGCCTCCCAAAGTGCTGGGATTACAGGCGTGAACCACCATGCCCGGCCTAGCCTAAGACCTTTTCTAATATGAATCTGTCAGCTCTTTGCCACTAGAAATAGTATGGTGCCTGTTACTTTGGAAGCACCTCCTTATACTCCAATCTCCGCAAGAGAGGCACCAAATGAGTCTCTGGTGTTCCCCCATCCTGCCATTTTTAATTGCTAGATGGCAGTCTCTACTTCTGGAAGGACCTCACTGAGCTGCTCTTCTGCAGGGGTGGGAGAAAGGCCTGCCTTTCCGCAGGAGCCCTGTGGGTGTTCTCGCCATCATTTAAAAATAAGCACACCCCACACTCCATTCGCTGTTCCTGTCCTGCTGCTACTGCCTCCTTTTTTTTTTTTTTTTTTTTTTTGAGGCAGAGTCTATCACCCAGCGTGGAGCGCAGTGGCGTGATCTCGCTCACTGCAACCTCCACCTCCCGGTTCAAGCAATTCTCCTGCCTCAGCCTCTGAGTAGCTGGAATATTTAGGTGCCCGCCACCACGCCTGGCTAATTTTTATTAGAGACAGGTTTTTGCCATGTTGTCCAGGCTGGTCTCAAACTCCTGACTTCAGGTGATCCACCCGGCTTGGCCTCCCAAAGTGCTGGGATCACAGGTGTGAGCCATCACGCCTGGCCACTGCCTCCTTTCTTGGCTTTTCCCCGTTACCCACAAATAACTCACAGATTTTTTTTTTTAAATGGAGTCTCCTTTTGTCACCCAGGCTGGAGTGCAGTGGTGCAATCTCAGCTCACTATAACCTTCACCTCCCAGGTTCAAGCTATTCTTGTGCTTCAGCCTTCGCAAGTAGCTGGGATTACAGGTGTGCGCCACCACACCCAGCTAATTTTTGCATTTTTAGTAGAGACAGGGTTTTGCCATGTTGCCCAGGCTGGTCTCCAACTCCTGACCTCAGGTGATCTACCTGCCTCAGCCTCCCAAAGTGCTGGGATTACAGGCGCGAGCCGCTACAGCCAGCCAGAAACTGCCTTTATCCAAAGCCACGTCTCAAAGCATGTGCCGGGGAATGCTTCTATTTTAAGCTGGCATTCTCACCTCTTCGCCCTGAAAAAAAACAGCATGCTTCTCTTTCCCTCATCAGGTAGGCAAAGAAAGTGATTGCACACTGTTTTTAATTGCAGGTTTACATAAACCCACAATTCAAGAGCATTGATTTGTTGGACTGTAATCTACACTTTAACACACTGAACTGCATTTAGGCAGCATGCCAGATGTGTAAAGTTGGAATTTAATGACATTTCAGTAGCAGCCCCAGAATTTAGTACAGTACTACTGTCGAATACTAATGTTCCACTAGCAAGAAAACAGAAACAGCTTCTTTATCAGTTACCTTTTTGTCCCTTTCTTGAAGATGGAGAAACTGAAAGCAATTAACTGTTTCTTGGAAACTTCATCTTATAAAGAACCTCCAATCAAGAGCATCCCACCATAGTTGTGCCTATGTTCATGCCACTTCAGCCATCAACCAAAGATTAATGTTTAACACTTTAAAATATTATGCTGCCCATTTATGAAGTTGAGGATTTTCCTGATGACTTTATCGAGCATTTTTTGCTTTCTGAAAGTGATTATGTGCATGAAAAGTACTGCAAACAAAGTCACCATGTGTTATTTCTGCTTTTCCATTTATTTTTAAATAGCAGAGGAGAAAATCTAACTTTCGAAAAAATGCATATTCTTGTCCTAAAGGATAGGGTTTCTCAGGCTCAGCACTGCAGATGTTCTGGATGGGTAAGTCCTCACGGTGGGAGGGACAGCCTGTGCACTGCAAGGTGCAGTGGTACCACCCCCAGCCGTGATGAGCAAAACTGTCCCCAGACATGGCCCGAGTCTCCTCCAAGGAGGTGATACAGGGATGGAGAGGGCCAAAGTCAACTCCAGTTGAGAATCACTGCTATAGAAAACAAAACTAAACTAAAAACTGTTGAATTCTACTTTAAAGAAATATTTCAAACTTACGAAAGGATATGGAGAACAACGAGCACCAACATACCTGGACCCTGCTAAAGAAATTATGTCTGTAAACACAATTACACCCCACTGCGGTCCTCTCCTGGCTTCACTTTCCCCCAGGGATCCTGACCGTGGTGGTGATCGTTCTCATGCGGGTATTAGAAGTGAGTTAACCGCTGTTTCTCTAACACTTGTGGCTGATCTTCAGAGTTTCTCATGCATACATCAAATCTACAATTGCTATTTCTACCCTCTTTCTGAACAAAACAAGAACCATACAACGCCTGAGCCATATTCACCCCTCTTCCATCTTATGTTATTTTCATTCTGTATTTTAGTTACTTGTTTTTTATATTTCCCCAAAATGGCCAATTTTTTAAAATCTTTATGTTACTTTATTGGAGCAAGATTCCTGATAGGTATACAGTGATATATTTACTAAACAGAGACCTGTGCAGAAATTACATAGTATCCATCTAAATAGGTTGTTACACTTTTGCCTATTGATGGAATTGTTCCATCTGTCAAGTTTTATACATCAAAAAGCTTGCGAATTTCACCAGACTGACCGTTAATTCACCTCTGAAAAAGTGGCATTTAATTTCAGCTACTATATTTTACAGCATTAAAAAGCTTATGCATTAGGGTACTTCTCATGGCATTGAGCAGACAGAGCTGAGTCCACTATCCCACCCCAATGTTTTTGTTTTTACAGTAAATGGATTTTTCTCTATGCGTACCTGTTCATTTTCTCTTCATACTTTATTGCATTCCAGATCTTACATCTGGCATCACTTTCCTTCTGCCTTCTTTTAAAAATTATTTATTGACACTGCTGGGTGATCTGTTCAGTTTTTGCTTTTTGGAAAATCCCTGTTTCCTCCTTCTTGTATGACAGTTTATCGGGCTCTGAAAGCCTGCATTGACAGTTCCTTTCCCACAGTGCTTATTTCATGATTATCTGACTTCTTTTATAAACCTAAGTTCCTGTATCTTTAATCTGTCTTTTCCCACTTAACTGATTCCACAATATTGTTTTGCCATTTCACTACAATATGTCTACATGTATATTTCTTTTTATATATTTTTTGTGATTCCATATGCTTCTTCAATCTAAAGATAAGTATCATTCTGGAAAATTATTTCATGTTTCTTAACTTTCAATATTTCCATGTCTTCATATTTTCATTGTGATACACATTTTCTCTAGCCACGTCTCATCTTCTGTATAACTGCCCAACTAGTACTTAATGTGAATGATTATATTGTTTATTTCCAGAAATCCTATTTAGTTCCTTTAATTTTTTCTTTTTAAAGAGATGGGGTTGTGCCATGTTGCCCAGGCTGGTCTCGAACTCCTGAGCTCAAACGATCCACCCGCCTTGGCCTCCCAAACTAGGATTACAGGCGTGAGCCACTGCACCTGGCCTACTCCTTTAAAAAATTTGCCTGTTCTTTTTCAGTGGTTTCTTTTCCTGTGTTTTGTTTTTCTTTCTCTTTTTTTTCCTCTTTAACCAATTTAACTGTTTTGTTTTTTTGTTGTTTTTTTTTTTTTTTTTTTTTTGAGACAGGATCTTGCTGTGTTCCTCAGGCTAGAGTGCAGTGGCACCATCACAGTTCACCGCAGCCTTGATCTCCTGTGCTCAAGTGATCCTCCCACCATAGCCTCCCAAGTAGCTGGGATTACAGGCACATGCCACCATGCCCAGCTATTTTTTGCATTTTTTGTAGAGACAAGGTTTCATCATGTTGCCCAGGCTAGTCTCGAACTCCTGACGTCAGGTGACTTGCCCACCCCAGCCTCCCAAAGTGCTGGGATTACAGGCGTGAGTCACTGTGGTGCCTGGCCGACTTCCTTCCTTTTTTTTTTTTTTTTTTTTTTTTTTTTTTTTTTTTGAGACAGAGTCTCGCTCTGTCACCAGGCTGGAGTGCAGTGATGCGATCTCAGCTCACTGCAACCTCTGCCTCCCAGGTTCAAGCAATTCTCCTGCCTCAGCCTCCTGAGTAGCTGGGACTACAGGCACACACAACCACGCCCAGCTAATCTTTGTATTTTTAGTAGAGACGGGTTTTCACCATGTTGGCCAGGTTGGACTCAATCTCTTGACCTCATGATTCGCCAACCCCAGCCTCCCAAAGTGCTGGGCTTACAGGCATGAGCCACTGCACCCAGCCCGATTTCCTTCTTTTTTAATGCTCGGTAGTATCCTA